AAGAGCATATAAGCTACCCTGTGTGCTTTGGTGCAAAATGCTGCTAATTGCACATAGATCTTTGTATCAGGCATGTTCTGCCAATTCTCTGAGGCAAAGCCAATGTAGCAGTTTATACAAGTAATGGTAAGAAAAACCCTGGCCGCTTGCAGCACTTCCTTCCCTCAATCCCAGGAGTGAGACTGCTCTGAATTCCCTCCACCCTCAGGTAAGGGTGGGAGGAAAGTGTTTGGAGCCTGGGGAAGGAGACAGTCCCCCAGACTAGGTTCAGTGGCTGGAGGGTTCTAGAATAGTGGGGAAACCAAACTTCACTTCTCATGGCACTCCAGGCAGGCAGGAGCTAGGGTTCAAGGACAGGGATACCTTCCATTCTGGTGGGGCTACCCATGGTGGGCTTGGACAGTGGGAATATCCATGGTGAATACGGGAGCTACAGACCGGAGAGCTGTCCCCGACTCTGTGTCTCATTTAAGCCATGGTTATGTGGGATTTACCGGTATTCGCAGCTCAGCGTAAGCCAAACTAATTCTCTACTCGTGGGTGGAATAGTGGACCCGGAGGAATCTGACCTCTCTGCCACATAAAATCCATCGCTCCCCGAAGCAGAGGTAGTGGCTCTTTAAAAGCTCCATGAAGGCCATGGATGCTGTCCCAGAAAAATGCATGCATACGAATATGCCCCACCCACACCTCAATATTCCTCTTCACGTCCATGCCTGGAGCCCAGGCTAAAAACCTCCGCAAGACAGAGATGCAACTAATTACCAAAGTACTCACTCCCCACTGCAAGTGGCATCAGACTCCTCCTGTTCTCACTTGGGGTCACCAGAGAGCAGGGGACAAGATCCCTGTGGCACTATTCCCTTCGGTGACACTCGTTCTTGTGCGATTTCTCATTTTTCGAGTGCCTGGCCCGCCTCAGGCCCCGGCTAGGCGCTGGGGAGAAGATGCCTGAGGAAAGCATGAGTTCTGCTGCGTGGAGAACCGAGTGGACCAGTGGATGAGGAGAATTTTGCCAAGTGGCAAAAGAGTTGAAATGGGGGGCATGGCATACAAAGAACTGAGTACTAGAGATGTGGACAGCCCTTGGCGTGTTTGGGGAACAGGGCATGCAGACCGGTGATGCCCTGACAGAGAGTGGTAGGTGATGGGAGGGTCTGGAGATAAGCCTATAAAGGTAGGCTGGGCCAGCTGCATGGGGCCTTGAATGCCACACCCAGGATTTTGACTTCATGCCGCAGGCAATGAGGAGCCACAGAATGACATGATCAGACCTGGCAGTGACGAGAAGGAATGGGGGGCAGAGGGAAGGGGACGAGGGGCTGGGAGACGCGGGGCAGTGTCTGCGGGGTCAGGGGCCAGCTTTCCCTGGTGGATGGACCTCACACCGCAGCAAACAGTGCCTGGAGCCCCGAATCCAGCAGCTCCCACGTCAGAGCCCTGCCTCCTGTTGTGTCAGGTGGACTGGGCTTCCTCCCACCTCCCCACATCTCCCTGGCTTGCTCTAAAACAGCCTTTCATTCCAGAATCACAGAGAAACCTCAGATGCAGACACTCCCTGGGGAATCTGACTTCCTCTAATTCACCCTCATACAACAGCTGGATCCAACACACATTTCCTGAGACTACGCCTGCCCACAACACCCCGTGAGGGGGGCACCAATGAGGCAGATGGGGTTCAGTAATGCACGTGGCCAGGGGGGACCTGGACACTAAGAACCGCCCTTCCTGCAAAACAGCCTGGGATGCATGGGCGTTCTAGGGAACTAAGGAGGAAAGGACTCACCCCTTCGGTTGGAATGGGGGTGGATTAGACTTAGAAAGTCTCAATGGTCGATCCAGGGTTTAAGAAAAACAGAAGATCTGGGATTCAGGTCTCTCTAAGAGCCGTGTGACCACAAGCAAGTCACTTCACATCTCTGAGCCTCTGTCCTCGTTTACAAAGTACAGACCTCACTTAGAGTGTTGGAAGTATGACCACATAAGATTTTGTAAAGGTCAGGGGAGTCCGGGTGGCTCAGTTGGTTGAGCGTCTAACTTCGGCTTGGGTCATGATCTCACGGTTCAAGGGTATGAGCCCCGCATCGGGCTCTGTGTGGGCTCAGAGCCTGAATTCTGTCTCTGTCTCTCTCTGCCCCTCCCCCTCTCATGCTCTATCTCTCTCAAAAATAAATAAAACATTAAAAAAAAAAAGATTCTGCAAATCTCAGAGCCTCGGATGGGATTATAACCAGTGTGGTGCTCAGGCAGCCTCTGACATGGCCCCCAGTGGCCCTACCTCCTGATGTTGACACCCTGTGGAATCCTGTCCTGAGTGTGGGCTGGACCTAGTGACTTGCTTCTAACCAGTGGAATATGGCAAAGCGATGGGATGGCGCTTCTAAGATTAGGTTACAAAACAACTGGCCTCTGTCTTGCTCACCCTCTACTTCTCTCTTGTTTGCCTGCCCTGATGGAAGCCAGGTGCGATGTTATGAGCTGTCCTATGGGGAAGTCCACGTGTCAGGAACCGAGGGAGGGGCTCCTCAAGGAAGTGAACCCTGATAACAATCATGTGAGAGCTCTTGGATGCAGACCCTCACCCCAATCAGTTGTTGAGAGGATTGTAACCTGGCAAGCACTTTGCTTCCTGATCCACAGAAACTCTGGGAAAATGTTCGTGTGTTTGTTTTTTAAGTTGCCGTTTCAGGATAATTTGTTACATAGCAGTAGCTAACTAATACAATCAGAGTGATAGGGAAACTATTTAGCAAGGAGCTCAGGACATGTGCTGCCCAACCTGTTAGAGCAGATGCTGCCTGGAGCACTGGGGCGGGGGCGTGGTGAGCTGCTTGCTAGCGTCCTGGGTGTTCAGGGAAGGTCAGGACAGGCAGACAGAGTAGTGGGAATTTATCCTATGGAAATACCCACAAAGAGGCACAAAAATAGCTGTTTGCAAGGATATTCACTGCAGTATTATTTGTTGTAGCAAAATATTGGAAACTGTAAAACCTATGTCCAGGGGATTGGCTAAATTAAGGTACATCCATGCAACAGGCTATCAAGTAGCCATTAAAAAGAATGAGGTACAGGCTGATACGGAAGGATAGGCACGATATACTTTGTTCAAGTACAGAAAAGTGGCATCATACGCCATCTTTTGTGTTAAATACCCAAACATATACTTACCTATAGGCTTATAGCTCTAGAAATAACCTGGTAGCCCTTCGTTGCCTTCAGGAAGGGAAACTGGGGGCCAGGGTCAGGGACGGGAGAGAAACCTATTTTTTTAATACTCCCTTTTGTATCTTTTGAGTTTTAGACCAGATGCACTTATTCATGAAAAAAATTATATCATTTTATAGATTACAATAAAGGGGAGCATTCATAAAGAACAGAATGGTAATTCATGTTAATGGCAAAAATCTCCGAGGTGATGTGCAAGGGCAAACAGCCACCATAGCATGTGACTTTTTGCTGCTCGTTAGACAGAAGTCACCCACAAGTGCTGTGGTCGCAGCATCTGACCTGTGACACACCAGCATCAGGATATCACGTGCTCCTCTTTCTGCACTGTCTGCTACTGTACCAGAGGTCTGGCTGGGTTATAAAATAGTGAGTTGTGTAACAAAGGCTGGCAGAGGAAGATATTCGAATACAGGACTCACAGGCTCAATGCGCCAGACATCGGGCCAGACACTCCTTGGACATCCCTGTGTTCATTTTCAGAGTAACTGTAGGAAGCATGAACCACTTCTATCCACAATTACCAACAGAGAAATAAACTCTAAGAGGCTAAGTGACTTGCCAGGGGTCAGATGCTCACGGAGAATTAGGTCTATAATCCACACTTGCAACTCCAGAGCCACGCCCCTAACACTCTACTCATAACCTTGAACATGGGAGGTGCTAGATAGACTTCTAACGTGAGCCTGAGTCCCCTCCCTCCGGTTTCTGTTAAGGACAGAAGCTCTGCTCAGATGATAAAACCCACCCCACCCCCGCATGTCTTCCTCTTCACTGTATCTCAACAGCAGCCAGAACACAGTGGTCTAATGTACTGTAGGAACTCAGAACATGTGTATTGATTGAACTCAACCAACAGACATAAGTAAATAATGCTTCCTCTGAGTTCCTAGAAAGGTAGTGCCGTGCCCGTCTACAGGAGAGTACTTTGGTGTCTCCCAAGCACATCCTCTCACCCAGTCTGGGGTGGCTAGGGTGGAGTTCAGGGTGTCCCTTGGTCCCATCAAGCACAGGAAGGGATAGAGGAGAGCAGACACGGGTCTGCTCCTCCTTGGGGTCCTGGAGGTTAGACAGAGGGACTTTTGCATACACAACACAGCAGAAGAGGTCAGGTTCAAAAGACTCTGAACTAAGGGTCCAGAAGCAATGGACAGTGTGCCTACTTCCCCAGAAGTGTGAGTTCAAGACCCTCATGGGGGTGAGCAGGGGCTTTTACAAGCAGGGGAGAAAGAGCTGTGCTCTCCAAAAATATCAGCACTGGAGGAGGACCAGGAAGGAAAAAGCACTGTTCCAGCTATACCCCCATTTTACAGATGAGGCAACTGAGGCTAGAGAGATGTGATTTCCTGAAGTACAGAGAGTGGACGACCATGGCTGAGACTGGCTTCCTTCCCCTGAGTCCCCTGTGATGCTCCTATCTCATGGGGGTGAGGATGCAATCATGGTTGTTTTCTGCAAGGACTCGAAAACCCTAATCTGGTGTCTCCGGAGAATTTCTAAGTGTACAGGGTGCTGAGTGGCTCCCCTTCCCCTACAAAACCAGAGCAGCGCCTCCCACTGGAGATTTCATTGGGAAAAAAAAAACGGTTCCTCTGCTTTAACGAAGAGAAGTTGGAACTCATTATGCTCCATCTTCCTTTGGAGCCCGTTCAGCATCCAGCTATCCATCCACCTCCACCACTGCCAATCCCTCCCCCCCGCCCCAAACCTAGGCTGGGTCAGTCAGAGCTCAGTCCAAGCCCGCCGAGACCTCCGCCGGACCCCTGGGGACTCACCTGGTACATCCGGGGACGGGTTGAGAATCATGAAGGCGTCTGACAGGCCTGCTTTGACAGGGTGCTGGGAGGAGCTGATTTCCAGGACAGACATAGGGATCTGCAGCGGGGGAGAAGAGGCTCCACCTACCCCTCCAAACACCCTTGGGCCAGCCTAGACGTCCCCTCTGAGTTCCAGACCCATCTGCCTGCTCCGCAGCATCTTTTGGAGGACTCAAGCCCAGCTCAAATCCAGTGGCCCCCATCCAAACTGCAAGTCCACTCCAACTATCTCCAGCACGTTTCCTTTTTCTTTGCTCTACCTCCACGCAGGCCAGAAACCTGGGAGTCACTCTTCCTTTCATCTCCACCCTCTTCCACCTCACACATCTCTGAACCCTCTTAATCAGCCTGCTAACTTGCTCTTATATCTGTCCAGTTGTCTCTATCTTACCCTACCCTACTCCAAGCTGGCAACGCCTCTCTCTCCAAAACCATCTCCCAACCTTCCCTCTGAGCCACCAACAACCCGTTCTCCACGCTGAAGCCAGAGTGACCTTTCTCAAAGGCAAATCTGGGTGTTCCCCTGCCCTATCTTGCTCCCCACTCTCCCCCATGGCCAGTCTTGCTGTCTTCTTTCAGTGCTTTGTACCAGCCAGGCTCTGTTCTGCCGCAGGACCTTTGAATGTGCCTTTCTCTCTCCTCTTTGTTTCCTTAACTCCTACACATCCTGCAGATTTCAACTCTTTTCCTCAGGGAAGCCTCCCCTGCTGAGGGAAAAAGCCTCATAGAGAGAAAAAGAAAGAAAGAAAGAAAGAAAGAAAGAAAGAAAGAAAGAAAGAAAGAAAGAAAGAAAGAAAGAAAGGAAGGAAGGAAGGAAGGAAGGAA